ATTAAAAAATTGAGCTCGGTATGTACCAAAATATCGATAAATATAAAAAAATACAATTAAATAAGCATAGCCCACAACCGCCAGTCCTTCCAGACACTTTGACAGCTTGCAAACTTTCCAACTCTCCTAGGTCACTCTTATTAGGAATTACGTATAGTAATTAGTTTACCTTAGTTTCCTTGTCCATGTATAATTGTATTTTCGTATCATACCTGTAAACCTGTACTCTAGTGGGTATAAATACCCCTTCTATACATCAAAACAAACACAGTTTACATTCATTACATGGTATCAGAGTTTGGTTTACCTCACTACAACTTTATTGGTAATCGGTGACTATCGAATCAAATTTTGACCTGATGGTAGCATTGAGCGCTTCAAGACTCGACTAGTTGCTGAAGGGTTCCCTCAGCGCCCAGATGTTGACTTTCATGAAACATTTAGTCTCATTCTCAAGCCCGTCACGGTCCGCACCGTGTTCACGTTAGCTCTCTTCCACAATTGGACGATATATCATATTGACGTGAACAATGCATTTCTTCAGGTTCATCTTCATGAGGAGGCTCAACCTCCGGGCTTACGTAATCTTCAGTTTCCCAATCATGTGTGTCGTCTACGTCAAGCTATCTATGGCTTGCGTCAAGCACCGCGCACTTGGTATGATGAACTGAGCTCTTTCCTTGTTCAGTGTGGGTTTACATAGACTCACTCGGAAGCTTCTCTATTTGTGTATCATTGTGTTGGTGTGTTTGCTTACTTCTTGATATACGTGGATGACCTTCTTCTTACCGGCAAAAACTCTGAGTTCTAACACCAATTTCAGGATCAGTTGTCCGCCCGGTTTGCTCAAAAGCATCTTGGCCAGGTCAATTATTTCTTAGGCATTGAAGTCATCCCTACTTCCACATGCTATATTCTCTTGAAGCACAAGTACATTTAGGACATTCTTACTCGGTTTCAAATGCATGAGGCCAAGTCATCGTCCACTTCTCTGGCCTCTACGACTCATCTTCTTCTACGGGATGGGTCGGTTGTTGCTGATGGGCTGATGGTACTCTCTATCGACAGGCTCTTGGTGTTCTCCAGTATCTTCTTACAACTCGTCCTGATGTGGCCTCCGCTGTCAACAAAATGTCACAATACATGCATGCTCCCATGTCACTTCACTGACAACATGTTAAACGACTACTCTTGTACTTGGCTAGTACTCGCTCTCTCACCATCTACATTTGCCACCAGTCTTCTCTACTAACACTTTGTGTTTTCTCCGAATCAGGCTGGGCTGGTGGCCCTTATGACCGCACCACCACGTTTGCTTTCTCATTTATCTTGGCGGCATGTTGATCTCCAAGAAATCCACAAAATAGCGGACAGCTGCACGGTCTAGTGCTGAAGTTGAGTACCAGGCCATTGCTCTTTGCACATCTGGGACAACTAGGGTGCCGTCAATTTCAGCTCGAATCCTGTGTTCCACTCCCGCATAAAACAACTTGCGTTGGACTATCATTTTGTGCGCCAGCTTATCCAAACTCGGCAACTTCACATGCGCCACTTGCCTATTGTCTCGCAACTTGCCGATGCACTCACCAAACCACTCTCGACTACTAGGGTTCACTTGTTACGCTCACCAAACCACTCTCCCTCTTACGGGGCATATTAGGGATTAGACTTTATCCGTGTAGTATTTACTATTTAGCATACCTTAGTTTTCGTGTCCATGTATAATTGTATATATGTATCATACTTGTAAACCTGTACTCCAGTGGGTATAAATACCCCTTCTATACATCAATACAAACACACAAATTACACTTCTTACAACTCTGGTCTCTCATTCAATTTCTTGTTATTTTGAAAAAACCAAATAGCGAACAATCTCGCAAGTTATCTCTAGCTCTCTTAGTCTCCAATCATCGAATTGAAGACTACCAAGCGCAATAAATTGATATATTACCATCTCGTCACTTCTCCTTGCCTCTGTTTTAGTTTTTTTTTTTTGCGAAAAGGGAGGAAAAAGCCGAGAGCAGGAGTACAGGGAGAGAGCTAAGAAGTAGAGTGGGAAGGCGTCACAACCCGACGCTCGAAAGTAATGCCCATGGCGTCTTCTCTAATAAGGGAAATTAGTCTAGGGGGCGGGTTTGCAAATTCATGCATACCGTAGGGATAGACGAGATTGTGCTTCGAGAGCCAGTCCGCGACACAATTCCCTTCCCGATATATATGAGAAATGCTCACTAGCCAATCTTGACTAATCTTCCTACGGATCGCAGAAAGCAAAGTCGCATGAGGGTGAACAGGGTCTTGACAGTTGTTGATAAGCTGGATCGCTAGCTGGGAATCAGACTCAAGTCGGACAGCCCGACATCCCAATCTCCAAGCCAGATCAAGTCCATGGAAGATTGCCCACAGCTTAGCCAGGGCGGCGGTCGCTGTCCCAATATTCGCAGTGAAACCAGAGACCCACTTGCCAGTCCAATCACGAAGGACTCCTCCGGCTCCAGCCGCTATGGGATTGCCGTTGGAGGCCCCATCAACGTTAAGAGCTAACCATCCATTAGCCGGAGGAGTCCAACCAATCATGGCCATAGTCCGGGCACCATCTGACCTCTGAGGTTGGGAAGTGGAGAAGGAGCTTGCCAAGCCTCATGCCAAAGTCTGCACTTAGCCACAATTGAGAACTCAAGGGAGGGAGGAGAGAGAGTTGAGTTCAGACCTCTAAAACATGAAGTGCATCTGTTCTTCCAAATCAGCCAGGAGGAAACGCTGAAGAAAGCCGCCAACTCATGCCCGAGTCCAACACTCGCTACTCTTACGATTATCTCGCAGCCAGCTGCTCTGATCCAGACTGAAAAAGTGTTGCTGCAGAGTCGTCAGGATGTGCCGAAGCCAGACATACCTAGCAGGGGGGCAGTCCCGGAGGATGTGGAGAATGGACTCCACCTGGTCACCGCAACGAAGACAACACTGGTTGTTTGTCACTTTCCTGGAGAAGAGAAGCGCCTTAGTGGCCAATTTCACCAACGTCGTCATCCACATGAAGCTCCTGATTCTTTCCGGCACCGGAAGGCTCCAAATGATCTTCCACAGCTTCTCGTCTGGGTCTGCCGGTCGCTGGTTCAGAAGGGAGTACGCAGACTTAGCCGAAAATCTCCCATCCGACGAGACTGACCAGAAAATGGTGTCCTCTTCCGAAGCCATCTTGTCAACCCCAATGCTGAGAATCTTCTGAAAAATATCGCTCGAAAGGAGATCCATGAACAAATCCGTCCGCCAAGCTCTCCACAAAAGAAGCAATCGGCTCAGCTTCTATCGACTCCGGGACGGGGCCGATAGCAACGTCCCTATGAGGAACCTGCAAAATCCAAGTATCCAACCAGAACTTAGTATGCTTACCATTCTTAATATTCCAGGCGCAACTCTTCCGAAGAAGGTTAGAAGCTTTGGACAAGCTTCTCCACGTAAAGGAACTTCCCTGAATTGGTCGAATCATCTCGAGATTTTCTCGTTGTCGACCATACTTCGCCACCATTAGCTGGATCCAAAGGCTATCCTTCTCCTTAATCAGTCGTCACCCACTCTTGGCTAGCATAGCGAGATTGGCGTTTTTTAGGGATCTTAGGCCTGCCCCTCCCTGCTATGTTTTAGTTTTATTCAAACTCAAACCCTTTGCCTAGTCTCTCAGCCCACAATCATAACTTGTGAATAAATATGTTTGATGAATAATTTGATTGGTTTATTCAATACATGCTTTGATCAGCACTTTTATATTAGAAATTTCTCACCGTCAACTTCTCATTACCAATATTTTTAATATTAAAAAATTAATTCTACAATCCTACACCATATAAAAAGCTCAAAATTAGTGAATGTTTGAACCATTATGTATTTATATATTTAATTATAAATTTTTTATTCGTAAATACCAATATTATACATAAATATTTTGCGATTGGAATGCCAAATTTATTCTTGGATTGAAATTAATTGTTGTCATTATTTACAATTTTGCTGTTTGATATTGCGATATCAATAGTATATCGATTTCCATCTTTGAAATTAGGGTATTTAAAGAAACATGTGGAACAGTGGGAGTTACAAAATGAATAAAATAACTATACGTGCTTTTGATTTATATAGCCGAGGAGTAAAATTTTGAACATATAAATTATAGTTTTATATATAAAAAAGTAAAAGATAAAAATTTAACACAACAAATGTGTGTTATTTTTTACAAAAGAAATTTGTAATCAACTGCTAAAGTTCGAATTGGGAGCTTTGTTAGTCTTCCCATGTAGCCATCATGCAGTCAGAAAAAGAATATAGATATGTGTAAACATTGAAAACAATAACAATAGAACGAATGAAAAACTAAACGTGACAACCTGACATGACACGTAGCGATAAAAACACATACACGAAATATACCGAAACATAACAGTAGCACGAACCGAACTTGAAAACGGGCATTTGATATCCTCAAGAGTTATCAATAAGAGTTTGCTGCCTAACAAAATTATTGGCCGCCTCCACATTTGGTAAAGGTCAACTCAATCTGCCCCCTTACGGTACCCAAGCCGGCCAAATCTTGGACTCAAGAAATTGCAAGTTGCAATATTAATTAGACAAAGGAAAGGAGAACAAAAAGTCAAAAACACAGAGAAGAAGGTAAGTCGTAATTTGTCTAACCCTAGATTTGGGCAGCATTTCAGTACCCAAAAGGGGGGAAAAGCCTCGAATTGAGACAACACCAACACGAGCCGCTTTATTAAGCTGTGGTGTTGTCTGAATTTGGTCCATGTGCATTTCATTTACTGTTCAACTTAAATTATCAAAACAGAAATAACAACCCCCTCTTTTTTCCCTTTGTTTGTTTGTTATTTTTTTGTGTGTGTTATTATTTACTAATTTGCCTTCCCCAAACCCTACTCAGCCAGCCCAATTTATTTATTTATTTATTTTCGTTTTGCTGCATTGGTATATTCGGATATAAATATTGGGGGCTGAGAGGGGGGAATTGGCCTCTGCTGCAGAATACAGTGACTCACTTTCAAAACTGTGGCTCTCGACCACGCCACCACTTCCAGCGCCACGATGAGCCCTCCTAACTCCATGGCTAATGCCAATGGCGACGGCAATGGCGTGTTGATGAATGGGGGCAGGGTGGATTTCGATCCCAGCGAGGCTCCTCCCTTCAAGATTGCCGACATCCGCGCTGCAATCCCGCCGCATTGCTGGGTCAAGAACCCATGGAGGTCGATGAGCTACGTCCTCAGGGACGCCATCGTCGTGCTCGGCTTCGCCTTCGCCGCCGCGAAGCTCGACAATTGGGCTCTCTGGCCGCTCTACTGGGTCGCTCAGGGGACCATGTTCTGGGCAATCTTCGTCCTCGGGCACGATTGGTAATTCATGACATTCAGCCACCATTGTTCTGTTTTGTTTTGTACATGCACCCTCAGATTGAATTGGATTGGATTGGATTGTTCTTCATAGACTCAAATCCCTAAACTTGTTTTGTTTTTTTTTATCTGGGTACTGGTTCAATTTGTAGTCTGGCATTCGTGTGTATTGGGGATTGAATTTTGTTTTGGTTGATTGCAGCGGACATGGGAGTTTCTCGGATAGCAGGGTGCTGAACAATGTGGTTGGACATATCCTGCATTCCTCAATCCTTGTACCTTACCACGGATGGTACATGCACGCCACTGAAATCTGAATACCAGGCTTACCCCTTTCATCTTTTTTTTTTTTTTTTTTGTTAATTTCTCTGGCTACCCCAGCTGAATCTGAAGTTTCATTATTTTCTAATTGGAACAGGAGAATTAGCCACAAGACCCACCACCAGAACCATGGCAATGTTGAGAAAGATGAATCCTGGGTTCCGGCAAGTTCCTTCACACCTTCCCTTCATCCTACTTCCTCTGTTTTATGACTCTGATGGATGCCTTGGAATGAATCAAATGTCATGTTCGGAACTGTAACTCTTTTGACGAATGGTTTCTCATTTGGGTTGGAAATATTGCAGCTGCCAGAGAAAGTGTACAAGGAGCTGGACACAAGCACCAAGTTCATGAGGTTCACTATCCCTCTCCCGATGTTCGCTTACCCTGTCTACTTGGTAAGCAAACCAACCTTTTATTGTGTTGCTATGGTGGGTTTATGGATTGCATTTTTAGATTTGAAACCAACGAATTTGAGTGAATGGTGCAGTGGACAAGAAGCCCAGGGAAGAAAGGGTCCCATTTCAATCCCTACAGTGACTTGTTCGCCCCACATGAGAGGCAAGCCGTCTTGATTTCCACCCTCTGCTGGACATCCATGGTTCTACTCCTCCTCTACTCCTCTTTTCTCTTTGGCTTCCTACCTGTCCTCAAGATCTATGGCCTCCCTTACCTCGTAAGTTATTCTCCTCTACCCTCCCTCCCTCCTTTCTTACCACTTTTTACAGCAAGCAAGTTGAACTGTCTTGTCTGCCAGCCGCCTGGATGATGCATTATTGTTTAGCTTGACTATTACTATTAGAGGTGTTTTGTATTATGCTTTTGTAAGCATTGAGATTTCATACGTCTCATCATATTGAATTGTGGGTTTTTTTCTCTGGCTTTGTTGTTTTGTCTCTCTTGTCCTGTAACAAAATGGTGGTTGCAGATATTTGTGGCGTGGCTGGACATGGTGACATACCTTCACCACCACGGGTACGAGCAGAAGCTGCCATGGTACCGAGGGAAAGAGTGGAGCTACCTGCGTGGAGGGCTCACGACCGTTGATCGAGACTACGGGATCATCAACAACATCCACCACGACATTGGCACCCATGTCATTCACCACCTCTTCCCTCAGATCCCACACTACCACCTCATAGAAGCGGTAAAAAAAAAATGAAGACACTGTTACTGCAGTGATTTGTGAACAGTAAATTCTTGGTGGGTTTTTGTTTACTGGTTTCTTACATGCACTGTTTCAGACAAAGGCAGCGAAGCCTGTGCTGGGGAAGTACTACAGAGAGCCAAAGAAGTCAGGGGCATTCCCGTGGCATCTGTTCGGCTACTTGGTGAGATCCCTTGGAGAAGATCACTATGTCAGCGACACAGGGGAGGTTGTCTTCTATCAGTCAGACCCTGAGATCTTCACATTCTCCAAGCCCAAGTCCAACTGATGAAGTAGAGTGAGACTCTCACTCCACCTCACCAATGTAGTTTAAAAACGATGTCATAAAATGTAAAAACGTACGTTTTTTACGTTTTAGACCAGGCCAGCCAAACCCATCAGTTTCTACATAAAAACGTTTTGTGTGCAAAAAAACGTCAAAGAATGCAATAAAACGTACGTTTTTTGTACGCCTCTGAACAACATCTGAAATTGCTGATCAGCAGCTAAATCGACGCCTTTTTCTTCCTGTATTAACGTCTCAACGACCACCGACTCTCTACCTCCTGAGCGTCTGGGGTTAATATTGAATCCTCGTGGTGGCAGCATTACGCTTTTACTCATATTTCCGTTTACGCTTAAAAATGGACATTTGACTACATTGCAATGCACTGGTCACTAGCTACTACTCAACCAAAAAACACAACCAATAAAGAGGCCTAAAGAGAAAATTTGTTCCTCTCTCTTCCTTGAAGTATACGTATAATTGAGGCAATTGTAAAAGCAGTTAAAAAAAAGAAGAAAATACAGACGTTTAAGGTAGTAAGTAGTTGTTGCATTGTTTCATGATTAATGCTGAAACCGAAAGGACAGAAAAGAACAGAGAAGTTGTGGACTTTTTGTCTATTCTCTTGGTGCTTGCATTAACTGGTTTCACTGTCTGGTGAACTAACTTGTACACAAACTAGAAATCCGTATTTGTAAAATCGTATTGTATTGGCAGTCCGACCAGGAAAGTCACATACCGGGGTCTAAATCGGTAGACAGTTTTACCGGCATGAAACGATTGAACTATGGTTAAACTATGGTTTCAGCATAATATACTCTGCCACCGACTTTTCAGATACAACCTCTCTTGCGGTGTTTCCACGATAAGAAATGGTGTCAAAACTAACTCACAAGTGCTGCAGAAACCAGAGTGGTCAGAATTCAAACGGCCTAGCGATTTTTCGTGGCAGGAGAGGCAGTGCAAGGCTGATGATGAGTGTACACAGACAGAGCAGATGAATGACTGCAGGTGTTAGGTAGGATCCTGCAACTGCTAGCGAGGTGGCTGGCCCTCAATACAAACAGACACATGTTTGGAGCAACTTACGCATGGGCGCCACCCATCTATCCCAGTTCGTTTTGAGCTTCTGTTTCATCGGACAAACGTGAGATGGAATACAGGCTAAGTTGTCATCCTATTCCACCTCATTTTAAATCGTCCATATCTTACCTTTCCTAGTGATGCTTTCTTGTATTTCACTGATCTTTATTCTCGTAAATCATATTTAATTCCTACTATTTAGAAATCGAACAGGAAAAATTAGGGTTACCGATCTAGCTGAGTCGCGGACTAGGTCGCTCTCTTTAAAACGTTCGCGGCACTGCCTCGTATTGCGCACAACAGATTATCAGCCAGTCGCCTCCAGGATAAAACAGCCATTCTAATTTTCTTGCTCATCGATTTTGTGCGAAAAACCGGAGCTCTATGAATTCACTCTCTCTCGTGTTTCTGCTCTTCTGAGGTGTGTTTAGAGGGTCTGGGGCGTCTCCTGTTTATAGGAGCAGAAAACCCAGAATATTCCCTCTTTCTTTGGGAATAATCTTTGGGAATAAGTCAAATTTTAATTAGGGAGATAATTACTCCCATAATTAAAATATAATCTATTAAGATAATTATTCCTAATTATCTCCATAATATTCCTTTTATTAATTATCCATCTTATTTATGTATTATGGGAAAATACTGGATAATTAATTAGGAATTTCATTTATAGCTTTTCAAAGCTATTCATCCCAACAATCCCCCACTTGAATAGTTTTGAAACTATCTTGAGCATCAACAGTTCCATAAGATCGGGCATAAGCTAAGGTATCGCGAAGATTTGAACCTTAACGTAGTGGTTACACTTCCGATTTCATAAGGGTGACTCGTAGTCTTGAACCCTATCTCAGACAATGTAGCACACCGGATCTTTTCATTGAGTGATATTCTCTCATAGGCCGTGCGTTTATGGCCATGCACGTTATCCCGGTTTAGTGAACACTCTAGCAACTTTGTGCCTCCAAAGTTCCATAGGGAGCGGCCCCACTCCCACATTCACATAGGTGAGTCTATCAGAAGTACCCCCCAAAGTAAAGTACTTCACTGCACATAGAGTATAGATCTCATTAAGAGTTTAACTCAACCTACAAGGCTTTGGGATTCATGTTTCACTATGCATGAACTTTTCGCATACTACTCATGACTTGTTATTACCCATTGAACCCATTTCTTGGGATCTCCAGTCTATTGGGTCGGGTTACCATCACTTGTAGTTCGTGGTTCGGTAGGCATAATTCCTATACCCTTGGCAGTATTTTGGACTTTCTCTCTAGATAATCCTTTCGTCAAAGGATCAACTAGATTCTGTTAGGACCTTACAGGATCCACCATCATTGCTCCCATCGTTAGGAGTTCTCTTACAGTAATGTGCTTACGACGAATTTGTCATCTCTTTTCGTTCTAGAACCAGTTCCCTTCTTTTACAATAGCTGCGGTGCTATCACAATTAATCAACTACCGGACGGATCGGTCTTTCCCATAAGGGAATCTCTAGTAGTGACCCTCTCAATCAACTTTCCTCTTTACTAGCCATTGCTAGTTCTATCATTTCCGATTTCTTAGTTGATTGAGCCAGGATCGTTTACTTCTTAGACTTCCAAGACATAGCTTCTCTATCGATGTTTAAAACACATCCTCTTGTTGTCTTGGAGTCCTCTATAGGGTATTCTAATCCGCATCATTATACCCTACCAATATAGCAAAACCTTTGATAACAAATACCAAGGTTTTTCTGTTCTTTTAAGGTGTCTCATGACCCCTTTCAATAGCATTTCAATGCTTCATACTAGGACAATCAGTAAGCCTACCAAGTACCCCCCCCCCACTAAATCGGGTCTCATGTTTATCAGTTGCCTCTCGCAGACTGTAAATGCTAGTATATTCTAACTTTCTTACATCGTCTTAGGTGTTCTTTAAATATTTATACGAGCATCATCAAACATGTATGCAGGTGTACATCTTGTATTTTCCTAGTTATTAGGATCTCTAAGCATAACATTTGTTTCATTCAGATCATTCACATTCAAAATTCTCAACCATCATGGTTTTTCAATATTGACATTACGAGTCTTTGTACCAAAGATCGACATGTCATTCATAATGCAAATGTCATTCTCAAATTTGTACTAAATGCACTTGTCACTTTCACTTTTAAAACCAATGGAGAGAACCATTTTATTCATGTCATCGTCTTAGAGTCTATTTCAAATCTTACAATGATTTGTCTAAAATAGACTCCCTAAGCATGTTCAGGAATAACAACCCTATAGGTTGTCCCATGTAGATTTTCCTATCTAAATCACCTTTCACATAAACATGTTTAACAATCCATCTGACGCACAACACTAGCAATCAGAACATACATGGATGTTATTCTACATATGGTGAATAGATAACAAGAAAATTTACAATTTTTCCTTTTCGCTTCAAGCCTTAGCTATTAGGCGATCCTTATACTCATAAACTAAACCAATAGGTTTCACTTTTCTTTTAAGAATCCATTTATTACCCATGACTTCATTTCCAAGAGGTAATTCTCAAAGATGCCAAATCTTGTTCGATTCTATCGATATATTACCCAAGGCTTTTCAACCAAGAGCTAACTCTACAAGATTTTAAGTCTTATTAGACTCCACAATATATTACCCAAGGCTTTTCAACCAAGAGGTAACTCTACAAGATTTTAAGTCTTATTAGACTCCGCAAATTCCATTTCGTTAATAATGGATTCTCCCACAATTCTGCATCTTTATGGAAGTTCGAACTTCTAGCAGACTTGTAGGATCTTTCTTTCTTAGGGTGTAAATAACAAGTTCATAACCAAAATCCTTTCGAGATTTATGGTTCATTTGTCTCTTCCGAGTTCATACTCAGATTCATCACCCCCACTAGTTATCCATTATTTCTAATAGTAGGCAGGATATCACCCCCACTATTTCTTAATATAAATGGAACTATATTGGCATCATCTAGATGGATTAAAAATGAGTATTCAAATCATGAGGCATGTGCATTTTACAATTGACGACATAATTAAACACACTCATATGCTTTTCTAGTTATCATATTACACTGATTCATTAACTCTGCAACATATCGAATAATCAGTGCAATCATTAATAATGCGATAAAGCATTTCTCAAGTCATTTCAAATTAACATATCAAATAACTAGACAGAGCACCTTATAGAGCAATAAATGATTTATTGTCTTTCCATCATGTTTATCCATATCAAATAAATAAGATCTTTCGATTCTTCACTACATGATATGGGAATACGACTTTAGATATTATAATTCTTCACAATGACGCACATGCCACACAGAAGAATTCATTTAATCTAGTTAATCATTCTATTTCCACATATACTCCAGAACCTGTGCACCCATTTAACCAAAATTATGTACACAAAGTTGTACTCCAATCATTGAGGAAGATATATCTCAATGTCAACATGATCATGCATCAATTCTTGATTCTCTAGCATTCTCAAAATTTCTCAATTCTATGCATAGAGACATACGAAGGAGATTCTAATATATCATTCACTAATGACTCACGAGAAATGTTTCTGTTCTTACCTCTTATTGAGAAACTATTGCTTTCTGATTTTGCAACGAATAGCTAGCACAATGCATGTAGCTTCTTTGTTCCTCATTATGCTTCTCTCCACAATACCTTCGTCCTCGTTTATGGATTATTGTTTCCATGATTCATGAGAAGCTTCCAAGACTTGGTCTGTGCCCCCACTATTTGCTCTTCAATAGTGCGACTAGGACTTTAATTCCTTTTGCAATTACTAATTCGTTTGGGCGGGAAGCTAAGCTCTATAGCCAACGCTGTTATTGCGCCATTTAGCCTGGCCAAACCAGCATTCCTTTGTGGACACCGTGATTCAAAAAACTCAAATAATTCACATTAGTACCCATAACAAGCACGCTGGTACCAAGATAATGCAAAAAGGATAAGTAACAAATAATACAGATCCAAAGTTTCTTTAACCATGGAGGTAATTAATTCCTCCAGATTTCATCCAGTACCCCTTTTTCTGATGGGGGCTCAGATAATCAATTAATTGGACCGGGTGCATCCTTCCATTAGCTTGGCCCTGGAGGCCTGGACGGAATTGAAGGGCACAAGACAGCCTACCATGTCGCTGCTTCTCCTTCTCTGATCTGTTTATCAAAATAATAATAACAACCACAAGAATAATAATAACACCGTCGTCAAAGTCAATACCCCTCCAAAGTCTTGTTCCTTCCGGAAATTGATCGGGGTTGAACTTCTCGGTGCCTCGTCCGCTTAGTGAGCAGCCCACGAAGGAAAGCCCTGGATGATGCGGGCTTGCCGTGGTCACTCGGCCGCCGAGCATCAACTAGATCACGGGACAGAACCCTTTCGTCATCTTCCGTCTTCACTAAGTACTTGCAGCTCTTTCTCTCGCCAGCGATTAATCTCTCAATCGTCTCAAATCATATATTTGATTATCTAGAAGGCGAACCAACAACAAAAAGCGCAGGGGAGAAGTAATTAATTAATCAAAAACTCTAACTGTGTAGAGTGTTCGAATTGTGAAGTCGTGGCAAAGACGGGTTCAGGCGACGATCTGCGAAGTCAGTTGATTTCTTTCAGAGGGCTACGACTCCGACATGATTGTTTGCTTCCCTCCGCACGTATAATATCCAGAATCGGCTTCCTGTTCGTTCGTTACACATGACAGCAACCGAACGTCTTAAAATTATTAGAAATCGAACAGGAAAAATTAGGGTTACCGATCTGGCTGAGTCGCGGACTAGGTCGCTCTCTTTAAGACGTTCGCGGCACTGCCTCGTATTGCGCACAGCAGATTATCAGCCGGTCGCCTCCAGGATAAAACAGCCATTCTAATTTTCTTGCTCATCGGTTTTGTGCGAAAAACCGGAGCTCTATGAATTCGCTCTCTCTCGTGTTTCTGCTCTTCTGAGGTGTGTTTAGAGGGTCTGGGGCGTCTCCTATGTATAGGAGCAGAAAACCCAGAATATTCCCTCTTTCTTTGGGAATAAGTCATATTTTAACTAGGGAGATAATTACTCCCATAATTAAAATATAATCTATTAAGATAATTATTCCTAATTATCTCCATAATATTTCTTTTATTAATTATCCATCTTATTTATGTATTATGGGAAAATACTAGATAATTAATTAGGAATTGCATTTATAGCTTTTCAAAGCTATTCATCCCAACAGAAACTCGTGCTCTGCATATGATGTTTTTATTTTTGTTTATTAAGATTTATGTTTTTAAATAGTAAGTAACTAATATGATCATTTTCACATAATACAGTTTTCCAACCGAGCGAATCCATACATGCAACAATATAATCTAAGATCGATTCAAGAAAAAGCTAAACCATGTTGAAACTACTTAGTCATCCTTCTATTAAGATAATATAATATACGGGCTCAAGATAGGTTCAAGATAGGGTGCATAACCCATGGTTATGCACCCATCAATAACCAAATCTGGACCCTTCATTTAGAAAATCCAGATCTAAGGATGGAGAATTAAAGGTTATTTTTATTTTCACTAGCCTTCTTAATTGACTCATATCTTTTTCGTTTTAACTCGGATTTTAATTTTTTTTGCACAGATGGAACGAGTTCAGCGTGCTCTACAAAATGAGATCAATTTTCAATATTTTTTTAGGAAAAAAAATTCTGGCCTCTCGGTACCAACTGCATACCATATGGTATCTTCTTCGTTTCTAATTCGTTTTTGAAAACGTTTGCGCAGCAACGATGAGTTCATCATGATCTACTGGATCTACAAATTTCTGGGTGAACAAATTACAGGACCAAAAAATACCACACAATACCATACAATACCACCCTGGTACGGGGTGGTATTGTATGGTATCTTCTTCGTTTTTAATTCGTTTTTGAAAACGTTTGCACAGAAGGGACGAGTTCATCATGATCTAGTGGATCTACAAATTTCTGGGTGAACAAATTAATGACCAAAAAATACCACACAATACCATACAATACCACCCTGGTACGGGGTGGTATTGTGTGGTATAGAATGTTAAAAGTCGTAAATTACAATTAATATACTTCTACTATCATGTATTCAACCATCATACAGTATTGGTTTGTTCATACCACCATGGTATGTTTTTCAAAACATAGGTATGCTTTTATTTCAATACCAGTCAATACCATATGGTATAGGCTGGTAAAAAATGACTCAATTTTTTTTGTTCGAAAAATATATTAAAGTGAGTATCATTTTGAAGAGCACGATTAAACTGATCTAACTGTGCAAAAAAAAATTAAATTTCGACTTAAAATGAGCGAGAAATCGTCCGCCAAAGATTAAAGAGGGAAAAATTAAAGGCTTTCCATGAGAGAGAGGATGCTGATGTCATGCTGATGTGGACGGGTTACTCATGGTTACTCACCATAAGGTTACTGACCTGATCCATTCCCCTCAAGATAGGGTGCATAACCCATGGTTATGCACCTATCAATAACCAAATCTGGACCCTTCATTTAGAAAATCCAGATCCAAGGATGGAGAATTAAAAGCTATTTTTATTTTCACTAGCTTTCTTAATTGACTAATATCTTTTTCGTTTTAACTCGGATTTTAATTTTTTTTGCACAGATGGAACGAGTTCACCGTGCTCTACAAAATGAGATCAATTTTCAATATTTTTTTAGGAAAAAAAATTCTGGCCTCTCGGTACCAACTCCATACCATATGGTATCTTCTTCGTTTTTAATTCGTTTTTGAAAACGTTTGCACAGCAGGGATGAGTTCATCATGATCTACTGGATCTACAAATTTCTGGGTGAACAAATTACAGGACAAAAAATACCACACAATACCATACAATACCACCCTGGTACGGGGTGGTATTGTATGGTATCTTCTTCGTTTTTAATTCGTTTTTGAAAACGTTTGCATAGAAGGGACGAGTTCATCATGATCTATTGGATCTACAAATTTCTGGGTGAACAAATTACAGGACCAAAAAATACCACACAATACCATACAATACCACCCTGGTACGGGGTGGTATTGTGTGGTATACAATGTTAAAAGTCGTAAATTACAATTAATATACTTCTACTATCATGTATTCAACCATCCTACAATATTGGTTTGTTCATACCACCATGCTATGTTTTTCAAAACATAGGTATGCTTTTATTTCAATACCAGTCAATACCATATGGTATAGGCTGGTAAAAAATGACTCAATTTTTTTGTTCGAAAAATATATTAAAGTCGATATCATTTTGAAGAGCACAATTAATCTGATCTAACTGTGCAAAAAAAAATTAAATTTCGACTTAAAATGAGCGAGAAATCGTCCGTCAAAGATTAAAGAGGGAAAAATTAAAGGCTTTCCATGAGAGAAAGGATGTTGATGTAGACAGGTTACTCATGGTTACTCGCCATAAGGTTACTGACCTGATCCATTCCCATAATATACGTATAAGCTATGGCAGTAGGACTCGATGGACAATGATGTCTCAGATTTCAAAATTGGACTCTATACAGGAAAAAAAATAGAATACTTATTTAAATAGGAAACACTCAAAGATTGTCAGTTGATAAGATTTCTAACGGAAATGGATTCTCGAAATACGTACGATCAAAATATGAGTGATCAGTCGAATTGGAGTTAAATCACCGAAAAATCACAAAGCTTTTTGGTCTATAAGAATTAAAAAAAATTGATTAATATGGTTGATAGGTTAAGGTTTACTCGCTAATTCGCAAGTCCTTTGCTCTTTGAGGGCTCTCCGGCCTGCTCCTTTCCTTTAATCAATCATTTAGGAAAATTTAATCAACCAAATCAAATATAGAGAAATCATACAAATGCATATTGGTTGGAATGCATCGAAGTTTCGAAACGAAAACACTTCTATAGCCCAAAACGAGGAAAACACGGCCTCCATGGTCACAAACCCGGCCGTTTTTTAGAGCCTAGAGGACGGGTTTTTAGGAGGTGTTTATGGAAAATTCCTCCCCAAAAACACGACCTGAATTGGTCAAAACCCGGCTGTGTTTGAGGCCGGATTTTTAAAAAGCCTTGCTGGAAATCACTACCTCTGTTCATGGTTTTGGCCATTTCTCCCTCATATTCAACCAAATCGATTGATTCTTTTTTCTAATTATACTAAATTCATAGGGATACAACATATCAAAATTTCAGCCCATTTAGACAAGTGAATTAGGTTTGGAACTCAATTGAAGTTGAAGGTTCAAACCGGTTTTTTTCTACTTCCTCTTCCACTACTCCCCTTCCATTGATCCAATCCACTCTTAAACCCCAAACCATAACTTCTCGGACAATCTCCATGATAAATAATTTATATACACACTCACACAAATCATCATAACCCTTTACTTCATTCGTCAAACATGGTATGGGCAAGAACCCGGTTTTTGGCCAATTTTGCGATTTTGAACCATAACTAACTCTAACTTTATTCCCATGATTTCTAACATCTTTAAACAAGATTCATAGCATGAACTCAAGAAACAAATCCATATTTTTCTCCCTATAATAATTTCTAGGTCTTAGGGTTTTTGCTTGGAGAAAGGAAGAAGATGATGGAGCCATGGTCTCTTACTTCTTCAAGCTCTCCCCTCCTTATTTTCCAACTCCCAACTTGCCTTAGCTACCTGAAGTTCCATATTTTTAGGATGATGGAAGGTGGTGGTGATGGGGAGGTGGTGGTGGAGGTCTGGAAGAGAAAGGAAGGAAATGGAAGATGAGAAAGAAGGGAGGGAGAGGGCAAATTTTTGTCTCCCCCAAAATTCCTCTAGAACACTCTTCTCCAATTCACAACTTTCACTTGGCACCCAATTACCATTCACTCCTCCAATTTTCTTTTCTCTACCAGTTTAGCCCTTAAAGTTTGACAAACCACCAAATTAAGGTACTAATCTCTTCTAAATCACCATAAGCATTCCATTCCCGACTTAAGGGACAATACGATTATGCTCGTCATTAATGACTTTATCATAATAAAATTATGCTTGAGGGGAAGGATGTTACATGTTCCCTTTTTGATCGATAAAAGGTCGGCGATTGTGGTGGTGACGGTTTGGGAGATGAACGAAAAATTGCAACGGAATGGGGATTAGGCTAATTGCGAGGGTGGTGGGGAATAAAATACGAGCTAATTCGGAGGGTGGAGGAATTCATTGATGGAAGGAGTTAGGTGTCGGCGTGCTGAAGAGGAAGAGAACAAAAACAATTGAAGGTCGACTATCAGGTTAGGGTTGTGTTTTTCATTATGTTGGGTCGGGGAAATGAACTTGAACTGGTTCATGGGCAAAAACCGACCTGGCCGGTCTAATTTTGCTCCAGTTGACATGAACCTTGACTACATTGCATTTAACAATATTAAATGTCTCATTACCGTTCTCAGGAATTGATGAGCCATGATGAAATAGATAGAGGAAAGGAAAGGAACAATGAAATATGGGCAACATTTATGTTTAGACAATTTTGGGTCTTACACCCCTCGCCAGGACCATTCACAAACTCATGTTCTGATTCTGCCCACCGACTTGAATACAAAGCTTGTTCAGATGAAGCAGAGAGAGTCATCCCTCGCATGAAAATGAACAATATTTTATTCATTGCCTCGACTCAAACCTATGTATAGTCCCTTGACGTATATCAAGAATTGCATTATTCGTACAATTACATAATACTCCAAATTCGTACAATTACATAATCGTAGTTTGGCACACACTGTTGACCACGGCGAGATTTCATATTCTGAAAGCATTTTAGAACAAATTCCTTGTCCAAACTAACATACAAATCGTGTTCTATGTCATCTGCATCGTTTAATCACTCATCGTTCATCCTGTTTCAAAGATCGTTCTTGATATATTTCATGGATGGAAATGATCTCTCCACAATTGCTTTTCCAACAGGAAGAATAAGTGCCAACTTGATAAGCAAAGAGACAGATGGATACAATTTGTGATAATTGTTTCCACCATTTTTTTTCTAACTCATCAACCCCTTGTAAGTCTTTGAACCTGTCATTGAATGTTAGATCACAGATATATGAATTCAAAAGATGATGAAAAAGTTTCATAAGATTCAAAAGGAACTCGAAGGGTTAGAGAGTAGCCAGTTGAATCAGTTTCTCCTTATCAAAAACGGCAAATGAATTAAGTGAATTTAAGCAAGCCATAAATGACAATAACTGAAAATTGACCTCAATTATTAATTTTTTGTTACTACATATATACGACAGTAAATACCTCAACCTGAGAGTGATGTAAACGTGTGACTAGTTCACTTACGCGCTTAGACTTTCCATGGCAAACATATGTCATCGATGTTAGGAACTTCAATCGTTTCTTATCACAAAAGAATTACAACCAAGGCCCCATTCTCTTCCAAAGGTCTCAATTTCCGACACCAACATGTCGTATTGCTAGTTGGTCTTCAATTCTATTTTGTCAACTCTGTTAGGTGTCGATTGGCTGATTTTTTGGTTGACACACCCTTGAACACTCCCATGTTACTGACCGTATTGTCTGTTAGGTTAATAAACTCGTTTGAAACATGCATAAATTCGTCAACACACTCTCCAACACGGACGTATTAGACCCCATTGTAGATCACACAAACGATAGTATCATCAATGTCATCCTTCTCTGATGACATGAATGAAAAACACATACTAGAAGCGAACACGCCAAACAAAATTTTTCGGAAAACTTCAAAACACAGTGGCAAATTTGATATTTCATATTTCTAAAGTACATCAGTATTTTTCCATCTAAAAAATGATAGAGGGACTTGTTTGAAAAAAATAAATTTAATAGAGAAACATATTATACCAATAACTAATGTTGCAAATGAATCCACTTGCTCAAGAGAGATTCGACGTTCAGTTCACGCAAATCTCATTCGACACTCGAGATTGAATCGTTTATTAACGAGTTGAGCTCAATCAACATCAAAACTCATTCAACTCACCTCATTTGCGGCACTAGCCATACCCCTTTATAATTGCACTAAGTCACGTTTGGTGGGTGCAACTCCTAGCTGTCTTAAAGTTACAATTATGTATATGCCCCCTTTAGAGTAAATAGGATATATGCTCCTTAAACTTGCATATGGTTATACTTTCTCCGATTGCTGTTCTTCTCACAGACTCGCTGAGGCTACAGCAACCTTTTAAATCTGTCTAAGCTCATTCATCCTACTATCTTACTATAGACCTATGCACTGCAAGCCAACCAAAATTACTATATTGTATTCACTATGCCGAAAGAGAATATTATCAGTACAGAAACCTCCAAACATAAGGGAGGCATACAAAGATCCAAACATAGTTTCATAATCGTTCAAGACTGTTCAATCACCTGACCAGCCAAGTGAAAGAGAACAAACAACAGCATTGAGACGAGACATGATTTTCCCAGAAAGACCAGTCACCTCTCATATGTCTGTCTCGTTTGAATTGCAAGCTAAATGCACCAACAAAACATGATCTCAGACAAGAAAGGAACTACTACTGCATCATCAGCACTAGATACAAGCTAGAAAGTCCCCAAAGTTCCCAACTTTGTTGTATATATGCAGATGGACATGCTCGAATCTAACTGAACAATGAAGCACATTTATTCATCATAAAGCCAAATCAACACCGGAGAAGTTTATGTCAATTGCAGCAAACTAACACTTGGAAAATCGACATTTGACCATGGATGGATATGTCTCAGAAAGCTTCACAGAGCTAGCAAGTAACGGCTTAAGAATGTGAAAGGGGATGGATGATATGAATTAGAGGTTGCTAACAGAGAACATAAAACAAAAATGGATGTGCCAAACGGTTCTGCAATGCCAAAGGCTCTCCTCCTTCCTTATTCTGATCGATTGGCGTACCTTTCAACCTTAGCGTCACTCAGATTGATTCCTACCATGGCCTCGCCCAATCCACAGCTCACCTCTGCAAGAACATCAGGGTCCGTGTAATGGGTCACGGCCTGCACAATTGCCCGAGCCCTCCTGGCCGGATCCCCACTCTTGAACACCCCAGAGCCGACGAAAACGCCGTCACAGCCGAGCTGCATCATCAAGGCCGCATCAGCTGGAGTCGCCACTCCCCCGGCGGCAAATTGGACCACGGGGAGCCTCCCGAGCTGCTTGGTCTGCATCACCAGATCGTACGGGGCGGCAATCTTCTTGGCGAAAGTGAAGACCTCATCGTCATCCATGTTCCTCAAAACCCTAATGTCTCCCATCACCGACCTCACGTGCCTGACAGCCTCGATTATGTTGCCCGTCCCGGCCTCGCCTTTGGTCCTGATCATCGCCGCGCCCTCCCGGATCCGGCGCAGGGCTTCGCCGAGGTTCCTGCAACCACAGACAAAAGGGATCCGGAAATTGTGCTTGTTGATGTGATTCTCGTCATCGGCCAGGGTCAGGACCTCGCTTTCGTCCACGTAGTCGATTCCGATGGCTTCCAGGATCTGAGCCTCCACGAAGTGCCCGATGCGGGCTTTGGCCATGACGGGGATGGTGACGGCCTGCTTGATTTCCTTGATCAATTGGGGGTCGCTCATCCGGGCGACGCCTCCTTGAGAGCGGATGTCGGCGGGGACTCGCTCCAGAGCCATGACGGCACAGGCGCCGGCTTCCTCGGCAATTCTGGCCTGCTCGGCGTTAACGACGTCCATGATTACGCCGCCGCGGAGCATTTGGGCGAGGCCGACCTTGACAGAAAAGGTGGATTTCTTGGTGCTCTCGCAAAGCGCGCCGTTACCGTAGACGGTCACTACGCCGCTGTCCGCCATTGTTGTGAATTTTAGAGATTGGGGGAGAAGGGAGGAGGAGGGTTGTGGATAAGCCGAAACAGGGAGTGAGTGGAGAGAAAGCTGGAGGATTGAGAACTCCTTTACTTTGTTCAGATTGTTGACGTTTTGCTAGTTCCAATACAAAATTATCGGGGGGTTTTTTTTTTCTAATATAAAAAATGAGAATTTGGTTATTTAGTTATTATTATTATTATTTTTTTATAGAAAGTTCCTGGAATTTTATTAATGGCTATAGCCTCATTTGTTAACAAATCCAACCGAAAATTTATAGTCTTTTAGCCCATTTCTCATGGGTTTCCCAATCACATCTGACATGGGCCATTGCATGTGCTGCTTGGTTCTCTTCCCGTCGACCGAACCGCCATTCAACCGAACCGAGCTGAACCGCCTGATCTTGAATCTTCCTCACACGCACACCTGTCTCCAGTCTCGAAGACTCCTGTCTTTGTAGCTTGAGAATGGCATTTTGACAATCCGATCCCACTAGCACATCGACGATACCTTCTTCCCTCGCCATTTCCAGGCCGAATTCGATGGCTCGAAGCTCTGCCAGCTCCGGCGTCCAGGAGTTGCGCTCCCTGCAGACTGCCGCCATGACGAAATTCCCGTTCCAATCACGAGCTACCACCCCTAAACCCGTCCTTCCTTCATTCAGCATCGCCGCGCCCACATTGAACTTTACCCAGCCCGCTGGTGGGCGCTTCCAGGTACGTGGTTCTTCCACCTTCTCAATAGTAGCTTGACGATGGTGATCTGTGAACTCCTCCCAATAATTAAGCGCCTTTTGAACAATCTCTCATTCTTCTGCCTTGTTGTTGTTGAACATTTGATCATTTCTTTCATTCCACATCGTCCAAAGAAGCATTCCCACTTGAGTGAGAGTATCATCATCGATCTTCTCCATTATTTCACGTAGCCAACTACCCATTGACACTTCAGGCTCTAATTCGAATAGGGGTCGAAACATAGAGGATCGCCAAACCCTTATTGCCCATTGACACTCCCTGAAGATATGGTTATGTGTTTCCTCTTGGTGGCAAAAGGGCATTCTGTTGCAGTATCCTTCTTACGTCCCTCGATGTTTTTTCCAGTAGGGAGTATGTGCAGTTTTTCATAGAAAAATTCTGACCTTATGGGGAATCACAAGACTCCACAGCCTCTTCCAGTTCATAGGGTCGTCGTGTTCAATCTCACCATCCTCTTCTGCTAGATTCCCATCTTGAGAGACGTCCTCGTGTAAGATGGCTAGGTCCCCTGTGACGAGCTTGTAAGCTGATTTGACTGAGTAGACACCATTTTTCTCTCTACTCCAAACATGTTCATCAGCTGCAGGCTGTCTGGGAATAGGGATCCTTGTGATCCTCCTTCTATCTTCTGGGTTTAGGTAAAGTTGGAGCATATTACTTCTCCATGTTCTATTCTCATGATCAATTAACTCAGAGACTTTAACTATCTCCTCTGATTCTAGGGGAGGTGTTAAAAGCCTATAACCTGAATCCTCTCCTCCTGATATCCACTTATCCCCCCATATGTTCACTTGAGAACCATCCCCTATTCTCCATCTTAGGCCACTCCTCACCAATTGCTGTGCTGACATAATGCTCCTCCAAGTGTAACTCAGGTTGTGCCCCACTCTAGCTTGTAGGATGTTTGAGTTAGGGTAGTATTTTGCCTTGAGCATTCTAGGAACCAGGGATTCTGGATTGGTAAAGAGATTCCATACCTGTTTTCCCAATAGAGCTAGATTAAATGCTTTCAGGTCTCTAAAACCCATCCCGCCTTCCTCCTTTGGTTTACACACTTGTTTCCAAGCTTTCCAAGGAATCCTCCTCTCTTCCTTCTGCTGTCCCCACCAAAAGCTAGAAATAGCTTTTCTTATCTCATCAAGAACACCAATAGGCACCTGAAACACTGACATAGTGTAGGTAGCTTGAGATTGAGCTACTGCTTTTATCAAAACCTCTTTGGCTGCTGCTGACATCGTTTTCCCTTTCCAATGCTTAATTTTCTTTCTTATTCTGTCTATTACGACATCAAACACAACTCATTTTTCTCTGCCTATTACAGTAGGCAATCCCAGGTATTTGCTATGGTTCTCCACCTGTTTCATTCCCAAACAGTTGGCCAACAATAGACGTTTCTCGGTCTTCACACTAGGGCTAAAGCTTATCTCATATTTCTGGATGTTCACTACTTGGCCAAATCTTCCTCATAGTGTTTTAGAATCTCTTTCAATTGCTGGCACTCCTGAGGGGTAGCCCTTAGGAAGAAGATGTTGTCATCTGCAAAAAGCAAGTGTGAAATGGAGTGTCCTCTCACAGGTGCTTTCAAGCCATGTAGCCTCCCTTCATTAACTGCCTTACTAGTGAGAGCAGAAAGACCTGCAACGCACATCAAGAATAGATAAGTAGAGATAGGATCTCCCTGTCTCAAACCTCTTTCCGGGGTGAAAGTCTCAGACTGGTGGCCATTGACTAACACCGAATAAGAAATAGTGGTGATGCAGTTCATAATCAGTTTAACCCAGCGCTCCTCAAAACCTAACTTCATCATCATTTCCTGAAGAAAAGACCACTCCACCCTATCATAAGCTTTAGAGATGTCCAGTTCTGCTGCCATCAGCCTCGTTTTTGCCTTCTTTTTCTGTTTCATGGCATGAAAGCATTCAAAAGAAACTATAACATTATCCGTTATAAACCTACCAGGCACAAAATCACTTTGTGCCTCTCCAATAACTTTGTCCAGCACTTGTTTTAGTCTGTTGGCTGGACTTTGGACATAATCTTGTACAAAACCTTGCATAGACTAATTGGCCTGAATTCAAGACGAGTTGTAGGTTTTTTCATTTTTGGTATCAAAGCTATTAGAGTGTGGTTCAACTCAGGGGGGAATTCACCACTCTCTAAATAGCTTCTAAGTTCCTCTTTCACTGCTGACCCCATCAGACCCTGGACCCTTATTTGGCCCCATGTGTTTAAGAGCATACCAAATTTCCTCATCCGTAAAAGGCAAAAGAAGCTCCTGGTTCATTTATGGGGTGACTTTTGCTGTTACTGCCTCCATGATTGTGATGTTGCCTGGTCTTGTTCCTACCTTAAATAAGGTCTTCAAATAAGTGACTAGGTAGTGGGTCACCCCCTGTTGACCTGTGAAAACTTTCCCTGTTTCATCCTGAAGTTTTCTGATTGTATTCCTTCTTCGTCTTTCAGATGCTTTTCGGTGGAAATAGCCTGTGTTTTGGTCTCCTTCTTTGAACCAATCCTCACTAGACCTCTGTTTCCATTTAATTTCCTCTTGTAGAATAATCTCATTAAGTTCCTTCTCTATTACTTTCCTTTGCAGTAACACTGCTTTTGATCTTTTCCTCTTTTCCAAAACCCTCAGAGCTTTCTCAGCTTGCTTTCTTCTCTTTTTCAGGGATCCAAAAGCTTCAGAGCTCAAGTTTTGCAGTTTATCCCTGCAGCTCTGCACTCTATCCATGATGCCAATAGGGCCATGTGCCATCCATCCCTCCTCAATTATTGTTCGACAGTCTTTGTGCCTTTCCTAGTAAGGCTCATACCTGAAGCTCCATCCCCGGGTAATTTCCTCGTCTTCTAGGTCCAACTTTACCTGTATTGGGATGTGGTCTGAGCCACATTGATCCAAATGATACACCCTCATATTAGGGAAGCAGTCCATCCACTCCTTTGTTCCCACCGCCCTATCTAACCTCTCTTCAGTGTAATCCCCATCACTTTTATTGTTATCCCAAGTGAGGTTCGACCATAGTACCCACAGTCCTCCAGGCCACAGTAGTCTAGGGCCTGTCTGAACATGTTCATTTCTCTAACCTCAGGAGCGTGGTTGCCATTCTTCTCTAGGTAATCAGTTATCAGGTTGAAATCTCCCACCACCAACCAAGGCATTTGAACTCTATGGTAGAGCTCTTCCAGCAGTTCACAGGTCTTATGCTTTTTTTTTTGTTTCTAGCCATCCATAAATGCCAGTCAAGCGCCATTCTCTCTGAGAGTTAGTCCACTTGACCTTTGCACCTATGTAATTTCTTGTACAGTTCTTCACCTCCACTAAAACTTATTCTTTCCACATGTGGAGTAGTCCTCCAGCTCTATTCTCTCATGCTGCTACTCCTTGCCCATCATAGTAGCCAAACTCTTTTATCTTTTGTTTCCATTCTTTTTCATACTGTCTCGTCTCCATCAAGAAGACCACTTCGGGATTGGTTTGACGTAACAACGTCTTCACCTTCTCAACTGTCGGGGTATTCCCGAGCCCCCGACAGTTGTAACTTAGGATGCTCATTGGGATGGGCGGCCCTGAGTACTATCAAGGTCCGCCACATCGCCAACCATCTGCTCATTGTGTTTGAGTTTCTATGTGTCTGCTGGTTTGGGGAGAACTAAAGTATTCGCCTTCTTCTGACTTTTGCTCTCATTTTCCCCCTGAATGATGTTCTCCTCCGTAGATTTTAGTCCTCTCTTTTGCGGGGTAAGCTGTGGAGGGTTTGTTTCCCTTGTCCTCCCTTGTTCCTGTCTTCTCCACACCCTCCCTCCTGGCTTCCTTTGCGTTTGTACTGTAATATTACAAGCTGTAACTTGTTTCACTACTCCTGCTCTACCAGCTACATTGCTGCGTTCCTTAATGGTAGCATTGTCCACTAGTATATCTTCCTTTGCCTTCCCTGAACCATTAGATGCTTCAATATGTGTTTTTAGTATCTGAGTAGTGCCCTCTTGTCCTGTCTCCATTGGGACATGCTCTTGTTCAGTTTTCTATGCTTTAGAAACCACCTCCGCCTATTTTTCTTCGGAGTTGTCTCCATATATCTGCTTCCTCTTTTCGGGCCCTATGTGATAGCCAGTTCCTTGGAGCTGGGGACGCTATTCTCATATCAAAGCCATAAGGATCAACCTCTAACTATGAGGGTTTTGGACACTTCACTTTTATATGGCCTATCCTACCACGCGAGTGGCAGAATA